CTTGCATGTACTGTTTTTGGTCTGGGTTCTTTAACTTAGCATAATTAACTTACTACTACATAGATCAATGTATAACTTCATTTTATTGCTAAGTAGTATTCTGTTGTTTGGATGTGTTACAACTTAGTTATCCATTCATCTGTTGATGAAATATTTGAGATGTTTTCCAGTTTATGGCTATAGCAAAGCTACTGTGAACATTTACATACACTTCTTTATATTGATATATGCTTTCCATTTCTCTTGAGTATTTATCTTGGAGTGGAAGGCTGTGTCATATGGTAGGTATATGTTTAACTTTTTTAGAAACTGTTTCCCAAAGTGTTTGTAGTATTTTACATGCCCACAGACAGTGTCTTAGAGTCCAGTTGCTTCATATTCTGGCCGATACTTAGTATGGTTAGTCTGTATAATTTTAGCACTTCTAGTATTTGTGTAGTAGTATCTCACTGTGGCTTTAGTTTGCATTTCCATATTGACTAGTAATGTCAAGCATCTCTTCATATACTTTTTTTGCCAATTCATATAGCTTCTTTGGTAAAGTGTTTTAAAATCTTCTGCCCATTTTTTCACAGGATTTTTATATTATTGAATTTTGTGAATTATATGTGCTGATCAAATCCTTTGTCGGATATGTGATTTGCAAATATATTCTCTCTTTCTATGGCTTGCCTTTTCATGACATGAAAAGTATCTTTCACAGAGTAGATGAAGTCCTACTGATCTTTTATAAAAAAGTGTTTTATGTTTTTTGGTGTTATGTCTAAGAAATCTTAGTCTACCCTAAGTTCATAAATATTTGGGGGAAGTTTTATAGTTTTGGGCTTTACATTTATGTCTATACTTATTTGAATTAATTTTTGTGATATGAGTTATAGATAAATTCTTCTCTTTTACTTATGTATGGCTAACCATTTGTTCCCAGTACTGCTTATAGATGTTTGTATCGTACATGTACAATATCAACATTTCTGCTGGATAAATACCTAGGAGTAGAATGGCTGCATATGGTCATGAGTTTATAGCTGCATTCTATATTCTGTTCTGTGAATCTATTTGTCTTTTATGATGCCAACACCCTACTGTGTTGATTACTGTAGCTTTATAAGTCTTGAAGACTTGTAGTATAAGTATACCACTTTATTTTTTTGAAATCGTTTTGGCTATGTAAGGTTGGTTGTTTGCATTTTATTTTTTATTTTTTTATTTTTTGAGTTGGAGTCTCACTCTGTCACCCAGACTGGAGTGCAGTGGCCGCTTCCGGCTACCGCAGCCTCGACCTGCTGGGCTCCGGCGATCCTTCCGCCTCAGCCTTCCAAGTAGCTGGAATTACAGGCATACGCTACCACGCCCGGCTGATTTTTTGATTTATTGTAGAGATGAGGTCTCACTGCCAAGGTGGGTCTTGAACCCGCGGGCTCAGGCAATCCACTCACCTCAGCCTCCCAAAGGCACGGGATTACAGGCTGAACCACTGAGCCCAGCTGGTTGTTTGCATTTTAAAGTGGATTTTAGAAATAGCGTGGCAACTTGCCCACACAAATCTCCTGATGTTTTTACTAGGATTGCATTGATTTATAGATAAGTTTGAAGAGAGTTAACATTGTAACAATACCGAATCTTCTGAACCATGAACATGGTATATCTCCATTTTTAAAAAAAGATAGTCCTTAATACCTCTTAGCAGTGTTTGGAGTTTCAGTTTATAGGTCTTGCAAATCTTTTGTCAGATTTATCCCTAAGTAGTTTATATTTGAATGCCATTTTACATGATATTTTTTAAAGTTTTCAGTTCCTAATTGCTTATTGCAGAAAATACTGTTGCTTTTTTCTGTATATTGCATATTACTTTCATTGATCTTCCATTGACTAGAACTCAATCATGTGGCTGCAAGTTTGTCTGGGGAATATTAATATATAGTTATCTTTCCACCTTAATATGAAACAAAACATTGTGAAAGAATGGTTAGACAGACTGGTGGGAGATAAAAAATACAATAAAATTGGCCAGGCCCAGTGGCTCATGACATAATCTCAGCACTTTGGGAGACTGAGGTGAGAGGATTGCCTGAAACCGTGGGTTCGAGGCCAGCCCGAGCAACTTGGTGAGACCTCATCTCTAAAATAAATAAAAAACTTAGCCAGGCATGGTGGCATATGCCTGTCATTCCAGCTAGAAAGGCTGAGGTGGAAGGATCGCCTGGGCCCAGCAGGTCGAGGCTGTGGTGGCCGTGAGCGTGTCACTACACTCCAGCCTGGGCAACAGAGTGAGACTCCAACTCAAAAATAATCATAATAAAATAAATAAATAAAAATAAATTTTAAAAATGCAATAAAATCAAGACTATCAAGTATTTTTCATTCAATAAAGGTGACATTTCAGAAATGTTGGGAAGAATGTAGAGTTGTAATTTAAAACAAAATCCTAGTAGCAATACAGACATATTAGGTTTAAGATATCTATCAGATTGGGGAGAAGTCAGGGAAGTGGCTCATGTTTGTAATCCCAGCACTTTGGGAGGCTAAAAGGGAAGATCACTTGAGCCCAAGAGTTCGAGGCCACTGCACCCCAGCCTTGATAAGGCAACATAGCAGGGTCCCATCTCTCGATAGATAGATAGATAGATAGATAGATAGATAGATAGATAGATAGGTTCATAGATTCATAGATAGATTCATAGACAGATTCATAAATAGATACATAGTCATCTGCATATGGATACTGTTTAATGCAAGAGACTGAATTAAATCACCAAAAGACAGAGTATAGCTGGAGAAGTCCATGGACTAATCCCCGAGTACTTCTGAGTTTCAGAAACTTAGCAGATGAAAAAGTGGCCTGTGAACTGAGGGGAAAATCAGTGTGAGAAGTCAAGTGGAGAACATTTTTCAAGAAGGAGGACGTGATCCCTGTGTCAGTAAGGTGCACATATGATGAGAACTGAGACTGAACCATTCTGTTTAAAAATGTGGAAGTCGCTGGTGACCTTGACAAGAGCAATTTCAGGGAGTTATGGAGATAAAAGTCTGATTAAGGGGGATGCAAGAGAAAATGGGGACAAGTTGAAGACAGCAAGTATAGATAACTTTTTAAGGAGTTTTGCTGTTTAGTAAAGCAGGCAAGTGAGGTGGTAGGTCATGAGAGGATTTTGTTGTTAAGATTAAAGAAATTACAAAATAAGTATTTGCAGATGGGAATGATATATTGAAAATAGATGATGTGAAAGAGAGGGAGAGCCGGACTCGGTGGCTCAGCCTGGAATCCTGCGCCTTTGGGAGGCTGAGGTGAGTGGATTGCCTGAGCCCGCGGGTTCGAGACCCACCTGGGCAGCGAGACCTCATCTCTACAATAAATCAAAAAATCAGCCGGGCGTGGTAGCGCATGCCTGTAATTCCGGCTACTCGGAAGGCTGAGATGGAAGGATCGAGCCCAGCAGGTGGAGGCTGCGCTGGCCGGGAGCGGCCACTGCACTCCAGTCTGGGTGACAGAGTGAGACTCCAACTCAAAAAAAAAAAAAAAAAAAGAAAGAAAGAAAGAGAGGGAGAATTGCTGGACCATATCTCATGGTAGGAGAAGACGGATCCAAGTACTTAAGTGATGGGGCCTTAGGAGAAGGATAATAGTTCACTAATCGCAACAAAAGGGAAGGCAGGAGAACATGGGTACCATGGCAGGTTGGTAGACCGGATGTGGCAGGCAATTCCATTCTCATGCTATCGTTTCTGTTTTCCCAGTGCAATGGAAAGCAGGGCTATCTACTATGCGTGAGGATGGGGGACCCAGGGAGAAATAGTCTTCTAGAATAAGTAGAGTGTAGAGAACTGTATCACTATTGGCTGAAAGCACTAAAGGCTCTCTTGAGGTTAGTGGTCTTAAAGTTAAAGTGAGAACAGGCAGCATAGTGTTTGTTTTTCTCTGCAGGCATATCTGGAGTAGGCATGGTTGATTCATTCACGGTTAGGTTTTGTCAGGCAACTTATAGGAAGTAAGAAGGGGCAGAGGTGGGAATTGAAGCTGGTTTAAGAGGGAGATGAGGACATGGGGTGGTGAAGGATAGAGAAAGGTGGTAGGGTCAGCTCCAGACAAGAATATCAAAATTGTGGTTTAAGAGGACATGAACTACAAATTAACAGTTGGTGTCCTAAGTGGAATTCTTGATTTGTGAGAGAGTAAAGGGGTTTCAATCATGGCCTGGTGGAAGCTGAGAGTGGAGTAGAGGAGGTCAAAGGACTAAAAGGCCCAGAATATTGGAGGGATTATCTATGTGGAAGCTGAATTTGTATGCAGAATCTGAAGGTCTTTATGTCATTTTCTAATATCCTATGTTGCTTTTGGGTTATCTAATAAGGTTTGAGCTTCATCCTTAATAGTCTTATATCTCTTCTTTATTTCTTTTTTTATGAGTTGAAGTCTCACTCTGTAATCCAGGCTGGATTGCAGTGGCACACTCACAGTCACTGCAGCCTCGACCTTCTGGACTCAGGCGATCCTTCAGCCTCAGCCTTCTAAGAAGCGGGAACCACAGGCACATGCCACCATGCCCGGTTAATTTTTTGATTTATTGTAGAGATGAGAATTCACCAAGTTGCCCAGGCTGGTCTCGAGTCCCTGGGCTCAGGCAGTCCTCTCACCTCCGCCTCCCAAAGTACTAGAATTACAGGCGTGAGCCACCACGCCCAGCATGTCTCTTCTTTTATAGTTTCTTAGTCCATAGTTAGTGCTCTACAAAACTTCCTTGATAGATTTCATTCCTTCTGTTGCATTTTTAACTATAGCAATTACATTTCTATTTTCTGAGAGTTTTTTCTTGCTTCTGACTAATTTTTCGTAACATCGTTTTTTAGAAAAACTTTTAGTCTTTGATGACTGCATGATTTGTTGTATTACATGTAACTCAGGTATCAGAATATGGCGCTTGGGTATTTTTACATGTAATTTTTTCTAAGTGAGGAAGTATATTGTGCTATATAGTTAACTTTTAAATATCTTTTCACTTTAGGTCTCAAAAAGTAAAGATGGAAAGGAACAAAGTGAAACTGTATCACCGTCCGAAGATGAAACATTCTCCTGGCCAGGTCCTAAAACAGTTCTCTTGAAAAGAACATCGCAAGGCTTTGGTTTTACATTGAGGCATTTTATTGTTTATCCCCCAGAGTCTGCAATTCAATTTTCATATAAGGTAAGAGAAATAATTAAAGTAACTTGAAGAAAAACACAAAGCTATTCCTATCTCCTCTTTGTCTTCCTCTCACCCTTGTCTCCTGTTTTTTTTCTATCTCAAAAGGATTTAGGATTACCTTTGCATTTTTATTGTATTCTTTTTCTTCTTTTAGATATTCTTCTACCTTCTAGAACAAAAACTTTAATAGATTCTGAGAGAATATACTGATTCTCAACTCTAAATCTATTTTTCGAGGACTTCTAATTCTAGACTTCATGCTACTTTTTCTAATACATAACTGGTTTTCTATTATCTAGAAAAGTGGTGAGTTTTCCTGGCAGAGTCTGCAGAGGAAATAGTTCACTAAAATTTTCTGACAGTTACAGAAAATTAGCAGAATTAGAATAGTACCTAACTTTCAGTTTTGTAATGCTATAGCAAGTCAGAATTTAAAAACACAGCTCTCTTCAAAATGAATGACATTAACGTGCTTCAGTGGATGGTGGCACGACCTGGAAAGACAGTCTGGAATAATTGTAATTGCAGCTGGACACTGAGTACTTGACTTCATGTTCTTTACTATTCTTTCTGAGTGTTATCTCATGGTATCCACATCAGAATGCTATGGAGTAGGTGGTCTTATTAGTCCCATCTAACAGATGTGGAAACTGATCTGGGCCATATAATAGATGGGATTTGAACTTGACCAGTATGAATGCCTGATGTTTAACTTTTATTTAATAATATAATGGAAATAATGAAATTTAGAAGTTGTGAGTCCATGACCAGGCCATTTACCTTCTTTTGGGCTCTAGATTTTCATTTTAATTTGAGGGCATTGAACTAGAAGGTCAGAAATTATTTTCTCATTCTTAATGTCTATGAATCCAAAACTGTCTTTGAAAAAGTAGTGTTTTTGTATCTAGAGACCACAATTTTAATTATATTTTTGTAAAATACAACTTTCCAGTAAAATGTCCTATAAGACAAGCTTTTTAAAAGTACTTAATGGCGGCCAGATACGGTGGCTCACGCCTATAATCCCAGCACTTTGAGAGGCCAAGGTGAGAGGATTGCCTGAGCCTATGGGTTTGAGACCAGCCTGGGCAACTTGGTGAGACCTCATCTCTACAGTAAATAAAAAAGTTAGCCAAGTATGGTGGCATACGCCTGTAGTTCCAGCTACTTGGAGGCTGAGGGGAGGGATTGCCTGAGCCCAGCAGGTCGAGGCTGCGATGGCCGTGGGCGTGCCACTGCACTTCAGCCTGGGCGACAGAGTGAGACTCCAACTCAATAAATATATAAAATAAAAGTACTTAATGGCTTCTAAGGATTATGAATAATTGCTATCTTTGGCATTAAAATTTCTGAAGTCCCTGTAAAACTGCTGGCTAGATTCCTTAAGAATCTACTTGATCTTAAAAGGTCTAGGCCAAGCCGGGCTCGGTGGCTCAGCCTATAATCCCGCGCCTTTGGGAGGCTGAGGTGAGTGGATTGCCTGAGCCCGTGGGTTTGAGACCCGCCTGGGCAGCGAGACCTCATCTCTACAATAAATCAAAAAATTAGCCAGGCGTGGTAGCGCATGCCTGTAATTCCGGCTACTTGGAAGGCTGAGGTGGAAGGATCACCAGAGCCCAACAGGTGGAGGCTGCGGTGGCCAGGAGCGGCCACTGCACTCCAGTCTGGGCGACAGAGTGAGACTCCAACTCAAAAAAAAAAAAAAAAAAAAGGTCTAGGCCAGGCATGGTGGCTTACGCCTATAATCCCAGCACTTTGGGAGACAGAGATGAGAGGGTTGCCAGATCCCAGGGGTTCGAGACCAGCCTGGGCAGTTTCGCAAGACTTCATCTCTACAGTAAATCAAAAAATTAGTCAGGTGCGATGGCATGTGCCTGTGGTTCCAGCTACTTGGAAGACTAAGGTGGAAGGATCACCTGATCTCATCAGGTCATGGCTGTGTGGTGGTCATGAGTATACCAGTGCACTTCAGCCTGGGTGACAAAGTAAGACGCTGACTCAAAAAAAAGAAAGGCTAAAATAGCATTGCTTACATATGAGGTCATATATGAGAGCACTTGGTAACTACGCTGGGGTTGAGTATTGTTTTGTCTTTTTGTTTTGTTTGAATAAGAGCTTTGAGCCATGGTGAACACATAGGTAGTATAATTTTTATAAGATGATTTTTACCAAGCACAGATTAATATATATTATTATTATTGGAAAATATTTCTAGATATTTTAGTAACAAAATACAGTAAGTTCTCACTTAACATTTTTGGCAGGTTTTGGAAACTGAGACTTCAAGCAAAATGATATATAATGAAACCAATTTTACCACTGGCTAACTGATATAAATAAGAGTTTATGTGGCATATTTCTGGTGATAAAAACATCACCAAATGTCTAAATAAAGACCAAAACACTTCCAATATTGAACATTGAAATAAATGTGAGCTATGCATGCATTTAGAAAGATTAGTAAAAACAAGTCCAGGGTTGAGGGTGGCTGGAGCCTATTCCAGCAGCTCAGGGTGCCAAGCGGGACCTAACCCTGGACAGGATACCAGTCTATCACAGGGTCCACTCACACCCACACCCACTCACATTGGCATGAACTGGTATGCATGTCTTTGGGATGTGGGAAGAAGCTGGAGGACCTGGAGAAACCCACGCAGGCATGAGGAGAACATTGCAAGCTCCACACAGTGGCCCCAGCTGGGAATACAATTTTTCTCCTCGCTGTTACAGCTTAACTGATGTTGAATGAAATGATGTTATTTCAGGACCTGCTATGATTGTTAACAGTATGATCACTGGTGTCAAAAGAGCCTGAGTTTGAATCCCACTTCTACCTCTTGTTAGCTCTGTGACCTTGAATAAGTCTGACAGACTATAATAGTACCTTCCTCCCAGCTTATGTGATGACTAAATGAAATCGTACTTGTAAAACACTGAGCATGGATATTGGCATTGTAGTTGTTATTTAATACCGATGTTCTTGCAAATAGTCTCAACTTTGCAAATTTTACACAGAAAATATTTATTGCCATCTTTTCTATTTTAATTGTGGAAGTTTACCAGTTGACTTCAAAGTAATTTTTAAAATTTTAATATTGTGTATTTCCCCCCTAAACAATCTAGTCCTGCAAGTGAGAAAGTGTACAATAAAATGTACAATTAATACAAAAATATCTTTATTGTGTCACTTAGCTGGCAACCCTATTAGTCTGACAACAGAGCTTATAACCAGAAGAAGGAAAAAAAAAATGGGACAACCAAAATAAAGGTTAACAATTATACAATAAATTACCAGCCCTTCACTCAATATCTATTTTCCTTTCTGCAGTATATATATGGTAGCTTCCATATGGCAGAGGCTCAGCAAATATTTGAATAAGTATGTTTTATAATACTTTTTTTTTTTTTTTGAGTCAGAGTCTCATCCTGTTACCCAGGCTGGAGTGCAGTGGCATACTCATGGCTCACTGCAGCCTTGACCTTCTGGGCTCAAGGAATTTTCCTACCTTGGCCTCCCAAAGTGCTGGGATCATAGGCATGTGTCACCATGCCCAGCCTATAATAAGTTTTTAAGGTTGTTTTTCTGATTTCCCAGCTAGAGGTGGATAACATGGCAGCAAGGCAGCCTGGTAGTAATGAACAAGACCAAGTAAATAAACTTAAAAATTGAGTACAAGAACTTAAAATATATAGCAACCCATTTGGAACCAACCCATTAATATAGACACTTTGGACATTTAGGTATATAGTACACTAAGTGATGACCGGCCATCTTCCCTGAATTCTAGGTTCATCTATCCAACTGCCTATTTGACAGCTCCACGTGTATAACTCCACTAGAGTCTCACACTCAACATGTTGAAACTGAACTCCAGATGTCCCCCTCCTAAATTGGCTTTATGCATAGCCTCTTCTCTTGATTTGTGACAACTCCACCCTTCTGGCAAAAGGCACTGTTAGTGAGATTGTAATTGGCACATTTTGGGGAGATCAATTTGAATTAAATTGAGCCCTGCTGTGACTTGACAAGAGTTTATAAATGTGTATTTATATATGGATATATATTTTTTTATTTGTAGGATGAAGAAAATGGAAACAAAGGAGGTATGCTATAAAATTTTTAATTTGTCTCTGAATGTTTTCTACCTTATGTCTTCTGGTTTGTTTGTTTTTTATCAGCTTCCTCATGTTGAAATCTTTCTGTTTTTCAAGTAATATTAAATGAGATGATGTAGTTTTTGGAGTTCAAATATGTAATGTTCTTAGGTGTGAGATTCATAGCAATTAAATTTTTTTTACTGTAGTTCTCAGAGTTTTATGAATTCCATTGTCTCATCATTTGAATATGTGATGGTTTTATTATTAAGTATATATTCGTGTTTATGTGGGTGATTACAAGGAAAATAATTCTGACTTTTTAAAATTTCAATTAGTAACCTTTATAAATTTAGTGATTCTTTTAGGTAAGGTATGCTATGTATTTTATCAATTAGATTTATTACTCAAATATTGGAAAGAAGAGGATTTGGGTTATTACTGCAATTAACCTTACTCTTGATTTAAACATTATTTAATGGGCTGAAAGGGAGAATTAGGCTGGAGATAGAGTTATCTTCTTAACTGTTTTTTTTTTAATTTAAATAAACTTGAATGAGCTAAAATTTATACACAACAAAATGCTCTCATTAAAAACTTTTATTTCTAGGTAATTTTAGATGACCAATTTGTAAAAATAGTACAGAGAGTTTACATATATTCTTCATTCAGCTCCCCCAATATTGAAAATGTACAATACCAGGCATGATCGGCAAAACTAAGAAATCAACATTGGTGTGATGCTGTTCTCTAAACTACAGTCTTTATTTAGATTTCACCAAAATTTTTCCACTATTGTCCCTTTTCTGTTCCAGAATTCCACTTTGTATTCGCTTGTTATGTCCCCTTAGTCTCCTCCAGTTTGTGATAGTTCCTCAGTCTTTCCCTGTATTTTATAACCTTGACATTTTTTGAAAACTACTGGTCAGTTATTTTGTAGACTGTCCTGCAATTTGGGTTTGTCTGATATTTCCTCATCGTTAGTTTGGGGCTATGCATTTTTAGCAAGAATACCACATTTGCACCTATTTTAAGAAGACAGTCTGGTGAGCTTTGGAAAATGTATAGAAACTACTGTCTCAATGAAGATATATAAAAAACAATCTTTCCGTTATTCCTTAAAGTGCCCTTGTACTGCTTTGTGCTCTGTTGGCCCTAGACAATCCGTAATCTGATTTCTGTCACTGTAGATTGATTTAGCTTCTTCTGGGATTTCTTATATGTGGAATAATACTGTACAAGATGGGGGGGTCACAAGAAAACTGGAATTATTTTTTGGAGGGTGGGCCAATTGTAGTACAGGCTTCCCCCACTAGATAAGTGTTCTAGGAACCCATAAAGCCTCAGTGTACCAGCTAGCTTTGTTGTGAGAGGCTGCATTTAGTTTCAGTGAATTTTTTTGGAGATTTTTTCAGTGCATTTGCCCATTTCATGATGGGTGATTTATGAGCACACTTGCCCACACCACACTGAGTATTCAGCAGTTTTTAACTAAAAAACAGCATGCCTCTCATGCTCCACTACCCAATCTCACCCCAAGTGACTTCTTTTTGTTTCCCCGGATGAAAAAAAGTCCTCAAAGGGAAATGTTTTGCCGATGTGGAAGACATGAAACAAAGAAATGCCATAAGCACTGAAAGGCATCAAAACTGATGAGTTCAAAAATGTGTTGAGCAGTACAAAAAGTATCTCGAAGAGTGTATAGCATCAAACAGAGAGTGCTTTGAAGGTGACTGAAGTTTAAACATATAAGAATAGGTGCATAATTTTTTAATAAATAAATTCCATTTTGGGAATACCCCTTGTATATGCTCATGTCTTTTGCACAGTACAATATTTTTGAGATTCGCCATATTATATGTGTGGGTACTGACAGTCACCTCCCCCTTTTGCTGGGTAGTTTTTTTTTTATTGTGTGAACAGACCACACATCGTTGTTCACTCACCTGTTGGTAGACCTTTGTAATGCCCACTTGGGGTCTTAGGAAGGTTATATTAAGAGTTAAAATGAGAGGAAAATGGTATCTTTTGGTACTGTCAACAGTAATATCAGGTTGTAGAGCCAGGTAAGACTCTTCACAGTTGTCACTGATGCAAGATGAGCCACCCCTGTCTCACCATCTGTCATGCACCAGGCTTCCGGATGAATTCCAAATACTACTTGGCATGGGTTAGAAATGAGCTTTAGCAGGGAAAGAGAAGATGTATAAAACCAGGATCAACAAAAGAAGAGAGGATGTTGGTTTTCTCTTCTCTTGTCACGCTGCAGGCTGATATGCTGATGCCTGGACAACTTACCGATCATACATCTAGATTTTCATTTCTTGAATGGGGGAAATATATGTAGAAGGACGTAGTTACAAAAGTTGACGCAGATCATTATGTATCTGAAGTAGCTTGCCTAAAGCAAATGGATTTAGTTATGTACTTTAGCTGAAGAGCGTAAACTTAGACTTTTTTTTTTTTTTGAGTCGAAGTCTCACTCTGTTGTCCAGGCTGAAGTGCAGTGGCACGCTCCCAGCCACGGCAGCCTGGACCTGCTAGACCCAGGCAATCTTTCTGCCTCGGCCTTCCAAGAAGCCAGAACCACAGGTGCACGCCGCCATGCCCGTTTTGTATTTTTTTGTAGAGATGATGTCTTGCTAAGTTGCCCAGGCTGGTCTTGAGCCCCTGGGCTCAGGCACTCCTCTTACTCGGCCTCCCAAAGTGCTGGGATTAGAGACTGAGCCATCACACCCAACCTAAACGAAGACATTTGTGAGGGAAAACTAGATGATCTAGTTCTAGCAGGAGATTTGAAGAGGATAGATAAAGTAGAATTGAAGGGTGTGATCTGCTGGGGAAGATTATGGTTTGTCTATTGTATTTATTGATTTGTACCTAATCTCATTCAAAAAGGGTTTAGGTCCACATGCAGAAATAGATACATGTAAGGAAAAAAAATAAGCTTAAAAAAATACATCGTTAAAAAAAAATGAATGAAACTGACATTTGGGAGATTGAGTAGTACCCACAAGCTCATGCTTTAGCTCCTACTCTGTTTTCAAGGATGGGCTGTAAGTTTGCTTTTGAAATTTCCAGTAGCCATAGAAAAGATGAGAACATAATTAGTTAAGGATATACATTAGTTAAGAAAACAACATACTGTTTGCACTGAGGTCTGAGACAAATTTCTCCTATGGGCTCTCATGATGAGAAACGGAGTAAATACAGTAGATAATATTCTTAACACCATTCTTTCCTGTGGCTGTTTTTAAAGTGATTCTTGATTATAAGTTGACTTCAAAACCCCAAGTTTCCATTCAGCTTAAAGCACTTATTAGCTGGTGACAGTATTGCTCCCCAAGTGTCTGTATAGACATCTTTGTTGCTACAGTTGGGGGCTGGAGAGTGTGCTGTTGGCATTGGAGTGTGCTAGAAGCCAGAGGTGCTGTTGAATATCCTACAATGCACAAGACACCACAACAGAGAATAATCTGACCCCAAATGTTAGTAGTGCCAATGTTGAGAAATTCTGGTTTAAAATGATAGATGCCAAAACAATGTGGTCTAAGGGTAGAAGTCCCCGTGAGTCTGGCTTGATCCAGTGACATCAAGCCATTTAGAAGAATGGATATTCAAGACTACATAACCAGTGATTTTTTTTTAATGATTATTATCCCTTACAAAAAAACTGAACTTTTGATCTGAATTGAGTTACTGTTATAGTTTGAGGTTAAATTATCTGTTGCTCTACCGGCATTGTATGCTGCTGATTAAGAATGAGTCTAAGTAAGAAAAAGATTATATTGCTGTATAAGAAAATATAGGTTTAATATGATAACAATTAGAAGATAAAATGACTAAATGAAAACAATCCGTAAAGAAGGTAAAAACAAAAGTTTCTTGGTATACGGTGGGTGGTGGGGGGTGGGGAGTTTGTTCTAGAACTGGCCATGTATTCCCAAGTCTTCCCTATGGAACCCACATATACAAAACATGGATTTCACATCCTGTGAATACTATGTTTTCCATCCACATTAGGTTGGAAAAAATCCACTTACCAGTGGACCTGAGAAGTTTAAACCTGTGTTGTTCAAGAGTCAAGTGTAATTGAATTATAATAAAAATCTAACATCAGAAGTCTCATCGTAACATCAACAAGGGTGCCTGATCCTAATCCAGGCGAAATGAGGTCCAGTGGGAGACCCAAAACTTCACCTGTACCTGGCCACTTACATACGCAATCCTGACTTACACCCCACAACTTTAAAATGAAATAAATACTGATACTATGGAAACAATAACAAAGAGAGCTCTCATAGATTGAGGGAGACAGTAATTAGAAGCTAGGTTAACACAAAGTTAGTAAGTTAAAAGACTGATAGACAGGTAAATTTAAAAAATAGAAAGCTAAGGCTTTAAAATGAGAGAAATAGAAATTCAAGTATTTTATCCCCTCTAATGCAAGGTACATCAAAGTAAGATATTTGTAAAGTTCAAAAGATTTGTATTTTTTCTTCCTGAGAAAAGAAGAATATGAAAAGGTATGAGAGCCCTGGAGAAATTGGTTTATAATATGCTTGTCATGTACTTGGAAGAAAAAGTACTTGATTCTGGGGGGTTGGGGAGCTCATGGTGGAAATGAGCATATGATTAAGACTTAACCTATACCAGGCATTGTCATCCATGTTATCATCCGTTCAGTCCTCACTCTTGAGACCCTGTTACCTGTGAGATACTATTCCTTTTTTTTTTTGAGTTGGAGTCTCACTCTGTCACCCAGGCTGGAGTGCACTGGCATCCTTTTAGCGGCTGCAGCCTCGACCTGCTAGGCTGAGGTGATCCTTCTGCCTTAGCCTTCCAAGTACCTGGAACTGCAGGCACACACCACCATATCCAGCTAATTTTTTGAGTTATGGTAGATACAAGTTGCCCAGACTGGTCTCGAAGCCGTGGGTTCAGGCAATCCTCTCACCTCGGCCTTCCAAAGTGCTGGATTACAGGCGTGAGCCACTGCTCCCAGCCTA